CAAGCTTAACATTGAAAAGCCGGAAATCTGCTATCAGTGTGTAGTGTATGTTTGGTGTTTTGGCCACAAAAGGAAGCCGAAGGGTCATGATCAGAAAGTAAAAAGGTAACTAACTGTTATTAAGCTCACCTTTTTATAGACCATAATTCACCACTCGCAGATTTGTGTTTTTTTACGGTGTCATGTCAACCGTTATCGAATATGTTCACCCTTACGATGAAAAGTACCTGCAAATTCTCACCTTTATATTCGAATTATTTTGGGACAACTGTCTTCCAGTTTGAGTGCTTCGTACGCCTTGGGAGACTAGATTCCTACATCATTCACAGTTCCAGTATAACTTTCTCACTCAGTAAGTTCAAAGTAAACACTAGTCTTTCTAGATAAGCATGTTAAACTAATATCCGTATTCTCTATTTCAGTTGATCGATGAAGACATGTACCACGTGCATCTGCTGTATATTGCCATTTCACTCCAATTCTAACTGTTATATATCTTCTGAAAAATAAAATTGCTATATGCAGCAAATACAGACTTATTGTTTTGATGGTGGTAGGTGGGTTCATGGGATTTTTAGCAGGACTGTAGTAATATTCTCAATAAAAAGCCGAGTGCGTAGACCAATCTAAAGTACCATACAAGGTGCCTTTGAATTACTCGTGTTCCATTAGTGTCGGTAGAAGCATTACTTGCTTATCATATGACATTTGAATAAGAAGCTATGAGATTAGACGCAGGGACGGTTAGGATGTGTAACGCGTGTCCATCCATCAGTTTTCGTGGCAACTCATGGTGGCTAGAATAAGTTGTGGGAGGACCCGAGCCTGTAGGTTTCCCAAGAAAATGACGGATATATGCACCAAATCACCTTATGAAGAGCGCCTCTAATCACTTAATCTCTACTCATTAAAGTATAGACGTCTTAGAGGTGACCTATTTACTTACAGGATCCTTAACACTTCTGGACATTCTCTTAAACACCTATATGAGCTTAATCCCAGATACTAGAGACACGACATAGCAGAATGGACTGTAGACGCAACTTCTACTCCTTAAGAGTTGTCGGATGCTGGAATTCGCTGCCCGCCGAACTAGTCCAAGCGACTTCCCAGGAGTCCTTTGGGAGGCGACTGGATCTTTTATTGTTAACATACCTAGGTTCATGCTTGGAGGTTTTGGTGATCCCCTGCTACTAGACACGGAAGCCTGAACACATGAATTAGGTGATGAGAGGCTCGATTATCACAAGTTTCTTGCAACGATTAGGTATGTAAAACAAAGTAGCATTAGGTTCAAAAATTTATTCGAGAACTTTCATTAAGAATCGAATATCAAACAAAGGTTTAAACCAAGTTCCAGTCTAAAAGTTGCATTTGTAATGTTAAGCTGCAGTTTTTGTTGTTTTTCCAAACGAAGGGTAAAAGAAGTAACTCAAAAAGTACTGGAAGTGGTTATGAAACTAAAATGGACGTCCAGCATCCTTTTTATAATCTGCTGTTAGTTGGGTCTCCAGTAAACAGGGCCATAGTTCCAAGTGCGAAATAGTTTTTAGGATTTGTGAAGGCTCACTCCTGTTGCATTCTAAATGAAAAAATAGTGATTAATTTAGTCAGAAATGTGGAATAGATAAATAACCAAATTACATGTTTTTTAGCAAAGAATTTATGCAGTTGTGATTTACTTTTAGTTCATGAATATTAGGTCAGGTCAGCTATTACTTGTGCAAAGCATAACATGGACTTAATACCGTATCTCAATGCTTTTATTATTTTGCTCTCATTTAAGTATTACCATGTATCTGCATCTAGTTTAACAGGGAGACATACAAGCAGAGTTAGTGTTCGATGAACTAAAAGTCCTAGTAGTCAAAAAGATTCTTAACATTTGTCCACAGCCAACTGCATTTAATTGAGATACAGAACACTCATCTTCTAAGACTAAATACTGCTCTTCTGTGGGCAAATAAAAGCTCACACACTTAGATATCCTGCTACCGATGTTATTGCTGGGGAAATTGTTTAATGACAGTGATCATGAAATATGGTCAGTGATAGATGTACAATCTAGAAATAAACACCAAACGTACTTAAAGCTATCTTATAATGTATGACAGCAACAGTACCAAAAGCAATTTTTTCCTATTTTTAATCAGACTGATTTGAATTAGTATACTCATCAGAAACAAGCAACTCTACTTACTAGACTGATCTGTTTCGTTACAGACTTCAAGCACTATACTTAAGTATACCATAATTCTTTCAACTAAACTGAATTATACGACAACCAAGAATACTAAACTAAGCAAGTGTCATAGTTATTGTTTCATTTGTACAGGCATATTGCTTAAAGTATTTAAATGGACATAATTAAGACTATAAAACAAAAACACGAAATGTAGGCAATTGAACTTACCGAACGGAAGACAAAGAATATATATATTGCTTTCCGACTGAAGACAACAGGCATTTGTTCATAAAAACATAGTTTATAGTACAATAAACCTTTCTACAGTAAAATCATGCACTGACAGTCTATCTGGAAACAATCAACTATGTGAATAAACTCACTATAACTTGAGATATCATCCCAGCGTACAATGGACGTGCAGTGTAACGCAGTCAGACGTGGCGAATAAAAATATAAAAAAAAGATCAAAATTAGCTATATAATCTAGTTTTTTAATTAAAAATACATTATGAAATGACAAAATCTGTGGTTACTTGAACGCACAGATGACCGATACATTAAGTTTACATGGTTGCGTTGCGGATAAGATCACCCTGCATGACCGAGTGCCTTCAGCTAGGATGAGTACCGCAAAACTGATGAAGTCGGTATCGTTGTTGAAGACTCACAGGACTTTTTATTTTGGTATCTATCTTTCACCATGAGCTATTCTCTAAGGTATAAATATATATATACCTATTTATTCAACAGCCATTTTCTCGTACCTTAATATTCTCCTGACTAAGTTTCCATTTTGAAATGTATGTTACAAACATGTTGGATTTGAAGTGCTTATATTTATTCTACTTCATATAAGGAATCAGAATCATTTATGATGGTCGTTGTGTGGCTTGTTACACACTACGAGAAGCTGGTGAAGCGAGAGGCAGGCACTTGAATCAAATAAACTTCTCATAATCCAATATTAAACATTAAGTATCTTCACCAAGCAAGGAAGTAAATGACTATTTTATCTATAATACTTCGGTCTTAATAAGAGGTTATCTAGTAATTCATAATCACCTAGCTTCGAATTCTACATCAACCTCCCCTTAAAATCACTGATTATTATGGAAATTTATTGAAACCAATATGTATGACTGCATATGTGATAAAACTCAGGATGGATCTATCTATGATCACCACTACAGGAAGACTGTTACGGGAGAACTGTAGACATTTGACTGATTATAGCCTTTTTATTGTATATTAATAGTTTTACTGTGTTTTGGATGTATTTGTTTTGCTTAACTTTTGAACTTGTTTGTTTATATCATTATTTTTGGTCATTTTGGTTTCTCTTTGTCATTGGTTTGGTATTTGAGAGTTTTTGTTCTGGGAACCTACAAAATTGAAGAACGACATTTGGGTCGACTATTTGTAAATTGCGAATAAACTTTGGTACGTAAATTGGAGTTGGGTTCTATTGTTAATTTGGGTTCGTGATTTGCAAATAGATCGATATACCGTACTTCAATAACGGAAACGAGCAAAAGCTTGGATGTGACAAATACTACGTGCCAGTTAACCGATAAGTTCCCCCGTAAGCCAAATATCAAAAGGCTGTTGATGAACGTAGTGGAGATGTATTTGTTGGCGATCTCGTGGTATCGAAAGAATACCGAGATCGTGCCAGGTTACAAGTGTGGTTACTGAGCCTAACCGAATTCGTTCAAGGTCACAATCAATAGGAGAATGTAAGTGTTTTGGTATAGTTAAACAAACAAGTACAGTAAAACAATTCCTGGTACAATTGGTTATAATAATAATTGTTTCCATCACACCAATCGCGTTCTCTTGATGAAAGTAGGTCACTACAAGTTAAATATCTAGCGATCAGTCTTACTAATCAAGAATATGTTCAGTGTGATATAGTGATTTTGTTACTGTTCAGCATAACCTTAATAACCACAGAAGTCCCCTTTTTAGTAAAGTAAATTTGACTGAAATAATAATGTATAATAATATAAGATTGTGAAGTCTTTCTAAACGATTGATGCATGAGTATGATCGAGCCTCTTTAAAACACACAATCACCAGACCAAGTCTTGAATGAATCCAGAAGAATTGAATTGATATATCTGGCCAGACACCATATCTCAAGACGGACGTGCAGGTGCTTGAATGTGAAGCACGTATTAAACACCGATTTCTGTCCATAATTTTAAATAGCTTGATCTCTGATCTATTTAAAACGGTTTTTGATACATGCCGAAAACTCATTCTAGAGGATCTCTACAAATGTTCTGTAAAATTAAATTATCGAGCAGACGGAACTGGACTTTCTCATTATTTCAAGAGAATTCATATTTACTTAGTTTAATTTTGCCGATGTTTAACCCTGGTGTGTACAGTGTGTTTCGATGCCTTGGATGCCTCCCGAAAAATTCCTGAGGTCCATATGTCACTCTTGTTTTAAGTGTGTTACCTACGATTTATTTCATCCCCTGGCAATCTGCAATGTATATGTAGTTTGTAGTGGTCTTATCCGTACGGTTGCTGGGGTCACAAGTCTTTTATGGTCCACTGCTGCTAGAAACAAAAGGCCCGTTAAACGAAAGCTTGTTCTATTCCATCCACAACCATCTGAACCATTTGAACCAATGGTAGTGCACCCATCTAAAGTAGTCTTCCACGATCACTTTTTCCATCGTTAAATAACATTCTATCCCTTTTAATCCGATAAAAATTAATCAATAACTATGTTTTCACGCTGTCAATCCCTCCATTTCATTTTTTCATGTCCGTCACATTCCGAGTTATTGAGAATTGAAAAGCTTCCCGCGGTTGTGTTGTTTGTTTGCGGCACATGTTAGTGATCAAGTGGTGAGAAAGACGACCAACTTGTCACATGTGAGTTCATTTCTTTCTTAAGTCCTAAGTGTATCTAAAACGTACTGTATATCGTGTCAGCGCGAAATCAGTACCGATTTTCCAGGAAAATTCTGTCTTATCATAAGTGATGGAATACCCGGTCTCCCTATTTTGGGAAGAGTTCTTCACGTTTCGGGTAAATTTTGGGCAAGTCACAATTGAAAGCCTAAGGAAAATGGTGCAAATGCTCCACAATCACCCCATCTCTAGGGCAAATCACCAAAGTTTTGAGGAAATGTTTGATCAAATTTAGGATTTTTCACAATATTTCCCTAGAATCTTATAACACTGGGGTTTCCCCCCATACCTTGAGGGAAACTACCAAATTCTTACGACTTTGAGGTGAACTAGTGTAGAATGGTCGGGTATAAACAAAATTCTGTCCTCATGATTTCTAAGTAAATTTCCAAGTGAATTCGTCAATATGTGACCAAGTTTTCACCGCAGGTTAATCGTTCACTCTTGTCGAACAGAAACTCTTCTAGGCTCATATGTTCAGTTGGTCATTATGTGCTTACCTCGAATCAAATATCTGTTTGCATCTTTACTTTTTACTTACTACCTTCAGGAGGTTGTTCAGTGTCGTAAATAGGGTAAAGTTTTCCTCGAACCCAACTTTCCAACGCGTGACTTTCTATGTTGTCTGATGTTCCCCTAATTCTTAAAGGTCTTCAGACTATCATAACTTGCGGTTTTTATCATTGTGTTCAGTTTACGTATTTAGAACCGTTATTGTTCATTCACGTATAACTTATGAAGTATGTATTTGATCCAGTTTATCGAGATTTTCAATACAGCTGAAAATCAACTTATTTATTGGAAGTAAATTCTCAGCAAACTAGTATTTATAAGCTATTATTTCGACTTTATTGTGTATGGAAATCAATGTAGATGCAACCTCTAATATATGGTAAATCCGTACCAATTGCCTTAGGTAGTTATAATAGTTCTGGATGCATCAAAACTGATTTAACTAGTTTTTCATATCTTATCAATTGACCATCTCTGTTTATTTACTTATTTAAACACAAACACTAGTACAAGGAGACATCAAATATATGTGCGCCACATAAATCATTCGATATATATGAGGGCTGCGATAGTGCCCGCGTGCCCAAAGCAGGTGGTTATTTAGAGGGCCACACACCACAAACCTTTGACCAAATGATCTAATCCACAAGGCATTGGAGCGATGTTAAGAGATGCAGTCCCGTGGTAGCCAGTGACCAACAATTGGTTCATACAATTTTTGTTCCTTTATGATTCTGGAGTCCATATGCATTCTTAATAAGATAAAGTAGCTAATCAAGTTAAACCCGCCACCCTCATATTAGTAGGGTAGAAAGATAATTTGACACTATTTGTATTTTCTGAATAGTTCCCCGTTTTTTAAGGTGAGGTGGGCTCAAACTGAGTAGTCAGCATCTTCCAGCAGATCTTAGATTCATAGTCAACGATCTCATGAACTGATGTAACGCCTTAGTTTGGTCTCAATTAGCTTTACTACTAGACCAGCCAATTCTACTTTTCGAGGTAGGGGTTGATATAACATGTGGAATATATGTCCTAACCACCTCAATCAATAAAGATACTCATCTTCAACCGATTCAACGTATTCGGTTGGTACGCTGTCCCTAACTTGAGGATTATTCACTCAATCGCTTCGCGATACTAGAGGAGTGCTTTAGAGACACGTGTAATCAATGACTTACAGCTTATACAAGTCCTCTACTTTCGTGGAGCAACGCAGAGAGGGTCGCTGCTCAGTTTACTCGCTCTTCAATCAGGAAACGGGCATCTCACCTTCCCTGCTAGTTACTGAAGGGCAACAGAACTGTAAATCTATGACGCCAACTCACTGGGACTGATATAACTTCCTTGCATTTGACTATAAGGTGACAATCTAGTCCCATTCAGTCTTCCATCTATACATCATCATCAGTCAGTCAGTCATAACCTAGAACTTGATAACTATGTATATTACTTCAAATTACCATACCCCATTGGCAGAGATTGAATTGTCAAACCAAATCTCAGAATAGTAGAGGTAATACTGGTATGTGTAGCGATTGAAAGGATTAGGAATCGGAGATACAATTCAAGAAAATGTAAGGTGGTGCATTAAAAACGAAATAGTTGTAAGGGATTCAGAAGCTTAATATTTGAGGGAAGACGAAAAATGAATTCACATGCATCATGACAAACGATTTTGAACCAGCTAGGTAGTTTACACTTGTTAACATAGCTCAGTCCAGTTACCAATGACTTCATGAACTGATGTCATGTCTTGGTTCGGCCGCCCCCTAGCTTTCTTTCTGACTACTCTTACATCAGCCCTTAAATGCCCTGGTATGGCCGAGAGTGAAATGGGCCCGCCCTCCCTCTCGAAGTGCTCTCACACGGTCACGCCTATACAGCCTCTGCCAGGGAAATCCTGCTCACTGCCTTCTCGTGGCGGGGGTGTTGTCTACGAAAACGAGAGGACGAAAAGCGAATGTCCGGTGTCTTAACCGGATCCCAAACCAATGGTGCACATGGGCTCCAATATCCTTCGGGAACAAATGGCGTATGAACCAATCGTTGGTCACCGACTACCATGAGATTGCATCTTCTCACGATGCGCCACTGCCTTGTAAGTCAGACCTTTAGGTCAAAGGCTCGGGGTGTAGCCTCCCAAGAAAGCCACCTGCTTCGGTTTGGGCACTCGGGCAGTATCACATCCCTCACACATATCGAATGAGATTTGTGTGGCGCATATATATTTGGTGCCCTCTTGTACCAATATTTATGTGTTCAAATAAATAAATAATAAATAAAAACTCGTCAAGGTGGGCTGTGGGAGGGCATACGTAACACATCCCAACCACCTCACTTGATGAGGATTTACCACCCTGTAAACCGACTTACCATCGTTACTAGGTAGTCTAATAATACACAAACAATGTTTCGAAAACACCCATGATCGAATACCAGTAACCTTCCAATATCCTCTATTCTTAATAGCCATGTTTCACATCCATAAAGTAGAATTGAGTGAACTACTGCGTTGTAGACTTCCTTTGGTTGGCATACAAATATCTCACCTACACCACAAATGACTCAATTTGGCAGAAGCCAATCCATCCTCCTAAATCCGTGCAGAAATTTCGTCAGACACCAGACCACTAGGACTGATGAGACTTAAGATGGTTGAAGTGGTCGACACGCTCAACTGCTTCACCTATCAATAATTTATGCACTGTCCCAGACCAATCCTGAAGGATTATTTCTCATTTGAGGGGAGAAAACTGCATCCCAAACATACCTGCATTATTGCTCAAGTTTGTCAGAAGACTGCATTTTGTCAGCGTCTTCAAACGGAATTATACTATCGTAAAGTGTAGCGACCTGAATCTTTATATCCTTTGTGCTGTCGTACGATGTTATGTTTTTATTGTATGAGTACAGACACCTAACAATAATCACTGAGACCTGATTCCCATTTAAAGTTATAAAATGCAACCTGCTTAAGGAAATCATGCTTTGAAACTAAAAATGGCCCAGTCTTCTACGATTTCCTATTAAATGCATTTCTTGGTGGAAATCATTAAAATTTTGGGTTACTTAAATTTTATGGCGGTATACTCTAACTTATTTTTTGTTCCTAGGTCAGTTATCCTAGATGATTTTTACACAAGAGGTAGCTGTGACTCTAATTTTATCAAAGATATCAACTCAAAGATGAGAGTTCCTGATAGAATATCATTGGATCCAAGTAGTTTACCGCAGGTGAATTTATCGCTCGATTCTTCTGAGAATGACAATATGAAAGTGCCAGAAAGGATAGTCATGTCTGGTGCACAGAATCAAGCATCTCCACTTATGGCATTCAACCGACGTGGAGGTAGGTATCAAATATGCTTGCTACATTTTCTTTGCTACCATATATATATATATATATATATATATATATATATATATATATATATATATATATATATATATATATATATATATATATATATATATATAAAATCCAATCAAAAGCTGTTAATAAAGGCATCGAAAGGTTAGTTAGTAAGAATGTTCACATCTCCACCGTTCCATTCAAGCAGTGGGTTTAGACAGGGTTGCCCAATCTCACCATTCCTCTTCATCTTTGCCATCGATGACATTCTGGAAACAGCTCTGATGGATGTAAGTAATGGCGGTGTGGATCTGTTGCCTGGAGAAAGATTTCTCGACCTTAAGTATGCATATGATATTGTCTTACTGTGCGATAATGCCCAAGGCATGCAATCCGCTTTTAATCAGTTGGCAATCAGTGTTCTGTACTCACCCTCGATGGTGAGCAGATAGAAGTAGTCGAGAAGTCCCGACCGAAGCTGCTACCTTGACGCAGGGGTCGGGCTTGCCTATCGTGATGACCCAACCGAGCTATATTGGCTGGAACATATGTTCCTGTAGGTTCTACCATGCCAGGCAGGTCGATTGGTGAACGGTAAGACTAAAAGCAGCAACTCAATGTCTGAGGGCGAAGTCGTACTGCTGACTGTAGAGAGGTGTGACAGCAGTAAGGTGTTTCCCTCAGACAATCAGCATTACAGCGATTCTGCCTTCCCACAAGGAGGGGTGGGGTTAGAAAAGGTCGACTCTAAAAATGTCACACCTCACCTTACCTCACGAATTTCCGTCTCCGGCGGTAAGGCCATCTGAAGAACGGAGCTAACACGTCAAAAACCTTCCACAAAAAGGCCGTGCGCGACCGGCCTCGAGCAGTTGTCCCTTGGGCTCTGCGGTCACGCTCCCAGGTCGTCAAGACCAACGCTAATCCAATTTCCTTTTCAGGTTCCTCAAGAAATACCCTTCCACGGTGTGGACAGCCGGGAAGTGACATCAGCCCTCATACCCGTAACAGCACACGAGACCAAGTTGGCCACATTCAAATCCTTCCTGCTCGGAAACTCATTCCACCTGGCTCTGAACGGAGTCAACTTAAGCGCAAGCTGGCAAGAAGTCTACGCAATGATCCCGAACAGTGGTGGGTAGCGAAAGCAAGAGAGATGGAAAAGGCAGCGGCAATAGGTATTAGCAGACAATTGTTTAGACTCGTTAAGGAAACCGGAATTAGGAACCTGACCGTTAGCGAAACAATCTCAGAGAAAGATGGACATATTATTCATTCTCAATCCAGGAGATTGGATCGATGGGCAGAACACTTTAAGGATCAGTTCAACTGGCCTTCAGCCACACTTCGGTTTCCCACGATCTCTAGTCAACCTGAATGGCAAGTTAATGTAGGTCCTCCATCCCTTTGCGAAGTTGAAAAAGCCATAGGAAATCTGAAACGAGGGAGAGCAGCAGGCCCTGACAGGTTTACTCCTGAGATTTTTAAGGATGGTGGTCCAGTATTAGCAATGAGATTAACCGAGGTCTTAGGTAGAATTTGGGAACTGGACGTAATCCCATCTGACTGGTCTCAATCACTGATTGTGCCAGTCTATAAGAAAGGACAAAAGTCCTCTTGTAACCATCACAGAGGAATCAGTTTAACTAATATAGTGTCTAAAATATTAGCTTCAGTAATACTTCGACGCCTAATCAAAGCTCGTGAAGAGCAGATTAGAGAAAACCAGGCTGATTTTCGACCTGGACGTGGCTGTATAGATCAGATATTCACACTACGTCAGGTCCTAGAACACAGACACACATTCAGACACCCCACAATGGTAGTATTTCTCGACCTTAAGGCGGCATTCGACTCTGTTGATCGTGAGGTTCTATGGCAGTGTTTGTCACTGAAAGGAGTACCAAACAAGTACATTAACTTTATTCAGGCTCTCTACTCGAACACAACTGGTAGAGTGAGAGCTTATGGCGAACTGTCATCAGAATTGATTACATCAAGTGGTGTTCGTCAGGGCTATCCACTCTCTCCATTCTTGTTCAACTTTGTGGTCGACGTACTTTTAGAGGTAACACTCTCCTCATCTAAATTTCCAGGGGTTGAACTTCTACCGGGAAGTTCACTTGTTGACTTAGAATATGCTGATGACATAGTTTTATTTGGTGAAGACGCTGACAAAATGCAGAGTCTTCTGACCACTCTAAGCAACAATGCAAGCATGTTCGGGATGCGATTCTCTCCCTCGAAATGCAAAATGTTGCTTCAGGATTGGGTTACATCGACACCCGAACTAGTGATAGGGAGTGGAGTAGTTGAGTGTGTCGACCGCTTCACTTATCTTGGAAGTCTCATCAGCCCTTGTGGTCTGGTGTGTGACGAAATCTCAGCACAGATACAGAAGGCTCGACTAGCTTTTGCCAACTTGCGTCATTTATGGCGTAGGCGAGATATCCGTCTATCAACCAAAGGACGTGTTTACTGCGCAGCAGTTCGTCCCGTCCTACTTTATGGCAGTGAAACATGGCCGGTAAGAGTAGAGAATATTCGTAGGTTACTAGTATTCGATCATAGGTGTCTTCGAAACATTGTTCGTATATCATGGGACCATCGAGTAAGTAACCCAGTTGTTAGGAAACGGGTACTAGGTAAAGATGGAAAATCAATTGATGAAGTAATGAAACTTCATCAGTTGCGTATGCCCAACGATCACAATGGCTTCGGTGTATACACTCTCTGTCTTCCCTTAAACCATGAGATTAAAATCGCTTCATATCTTTCTTTCTACGAACTAATTCTTTCTTCCTATACTATATTCCTTATATACAATCTTTCTTTTATATATTACCACCATTGACTTAACCACTCCTATGAATCCAGTGTTCATCTTGTTGTGTTAATGAGGTATGGCAACTTGGACCGATGCACATATGTGCCTGGTCCTACGTTGTAGCTGACTGACTGTTCGTGCTTCTGGTTGTCAGTGGAATATATTCCCCTCTTTTGAACTTGGACTATTTTCTCTCTAGTTAACTTGGCTGGGAGGCATCGAAATAGCTAGCTTATCTGTCATTGTGTTATAAAGTCTTCGTTCCGTTCTCAGATTAGGTGAACTTGTAATCTCATAATACTCTTCTAAACATCTTGAATAATAATTCAAGAGTGTCTGTGTTGGGTCCATCTCTAAATTGTGTTCTAAAATTTCCTTAAGGGGATTTCTAGTTTCATTATAGAAATAGAATTGGTCGAAAATGTAGACCACTTTACTAATTTTGAAAATCACGTAAGTCTTGGCGTGTTAACAGCTGACATAAATACAAAAAAAGCGTTTGGCTTTCTACATTGCGTTGTGTAAGTTAAATGTCCACTTGCTAATCAGGGGGGGGGTGAGTATACTACGTCTCAGTCCTCTCCGTATTACTGTACGGCTATGAAACAGCCTATTAAACTATAAAATACATTCGTTGTAAATATTTGATCATAGGTGATACCATAGACGATGTACGGGGTCAAGCTTAAGGTTTTTAGTAGAAACGGTGAGTTGACTAACTGGGCCATAGACGTCCATTGACTTAGATGGTTTGAATGTGTGTTATGGTAGCCCAGCAGTCACCTACCTTGGTATGCGATACTACCTAACTTAGAATCAGGTAAGAATAAGACTTTAAGGATCCAAATCAAGACACGACATCCATACATGAAGTTACTGACTGCTAAGGAGTCGTAGGTTTTGTAACTGAATCACACCCAGTAGTCATCTGTGATTGGGCGACATCGTTAAATATCTATTGCCATGGCCAATTTGTATTCATTCCTTCCGTATTCTTTAAATTTTGAGATTATTCCGTTTCTATTTTTTGTTTCTTCTATCTCATGTGTTCTTTCTGTAGAAGAATACTCATACTTAGCTTTCTACTGTATATACTGTTAGGATTATTTTTCTTCTACTACCTCTCATCTTATTAATTTCCCATTTAACTTAACTGATGTACGATGTGATAACTTAGACCAATAGATATTTGTACTAGGCTCTGTGTAGTCTTTGGCTGGCTGAGTCTGATGTTCTGTGATTAAACTTACGATGTTTATTTAAATAATAGTAATAATAATAATCTGGACCTATAGCAATATCTACTCTATGGCAACTTGTGTGAATCATTTCTTTCTCTCGGTGTAACCAACATTACCACCATCTATCGAATATATAGATAAATCCATATGCTTCACTATATGACTTATTATTTTGTTTTTTTCTTACAGATGACCTTATCGATAATTTAGATCCTGTTCCACTTCAACATGCTTTAGACCCATTACCTACTTCTTTAGTGTTAAATGAAGTTCATTATCCAGATCTAGAACGATTAACTATTGAGAAGAGAGAAATAGAAACAGCCATCTCAACTCCACTATTATTAACAAACGAATCTCAGTAAGAATAATTGATTAATTTTGTACGTTTTTTTGATAATTCGTTTAAAAAAGAAACAATAATTATTCAGATACTCTTGTTTTCAGTCAGTCAGTAACAATGTAGAACTTCGTACGTACGTACATCAGTTCGAGTTGCCATACCACATTAGCACAGAGATGCAGTTGTCAATTCAAATACCGCAGTGGTAGAGGTAGTGAGAGTAATCGGAAACATTAGGGTTTGAAGATGTTATTTAAAGAGTATAATTCAGTGAAATAAATTTGGGAAGAGGAAAAAAGGGACATGAAGAATTCAGAAGATTAGAATTTGGGAGAACACAAAGTGTGGATGCACCTGTGTCATTGCAAACGATTTTGAGCCATGTCATTCAGGGTCTCTAACCATCGGTTGTTATCATCTCGCGGTCTCCAACCAGATAGTCTACACCTACCAACATGACTCAGTTCACTTTTCAGTGACTTCATGGACTTGTGTCATGCTTTGGTCTGGCCGCCCCTAGCTTTATTCCAATCTACTCTTATACCACTGAACATCACACGTCGAGGCAGTCGGTGGTTGGACATATGTATCACGTGTCCCAGCCATCTCAACTGATAAAATTTCATTACTCTTGTTTTAGTTTTTAAAATAATTTCCTTTTCCATAGTTTACATATTCAAAGTTGTAACTTGGTGATTAAAATATTTGACTTCTCTGTAACATGTCTGAACTATACTACACTTTGTGTTTATTCAGTTTTGCAATAGTGGAATTATCCTTTCATATACGAGAAATTGAGACTCAAATTCAACTACATAACAAATATGTAGTTTGTAAATGATTTACATCAATTTAAGGCTCTTCAATGTTGAGGCTGCATACGTTTTATTTATTTATTTAAACACATAAACGTTGGTACAAGAAGTCACCAAACAGAGATACGCCACATAAATCGTCTGATTTATGTTAAAGTTTAGATACTGCTCGGGTGCCCAGACCGAAGCAGGTGATTTTCTTATGGAGACACATCCCGAGCCCTTGACGTAAATGTCTAATCCACAAGGCAATGGAGCAATGTGAGGTGATGTTGTCCCATGGTAGCCGGTGACCAACGTTTGGTTCATACTCCATTTGTTTCCTTAGAATCCTGGAGCCCATGTTCACCATTGATTTGGAATCAGGGTTCTCGAACTCTTATATATGTGGATCTTCCATATCCATCAACCCGTTTTAAGCACCGGACCTTCTCTTTTTGTCCCCAATTTCGTAAGCAACATCCGTGCCACAAGAAGGCAATGAGTAAGACTTACATGTCAGTGGTTGAATACACGTGGCCACTGGAGAGCATTTCGAAAAGGAGGACTGACTGTCCTCACTCTCGGCCGTACCAGGGCATTTGGGAGCATACGTTTTAATGAGATATATATATTTTATTTGTTGCTTTGTATATGGTAATGTGATAAGTATTATTTGTATTTTATTTTATTTTCAATAAAATAAAGGAATCATATCCCAACAGAACAACAACCTTCTCCACTTCCTTTATCGAATATCTCCAATGTTATAAATCATTCATCTACATCGATATCACCATCATCATCATCACCAATGAGTCAAACAAATAATGCTCAATCTATTCTTATAGATACACGACGTCTTAGATTATTAGAGATTCGTATGAATGAAATAGAACTTGAATTATCTAGACGTCAATTAATGGATAAATTACTTTATATCACCTTTGGAGGTTATTTTGTTTTAAAATTTTTACGCTTATTATTCTCTTAGACTGTCCTTATTCTTCTTCTTCTTGTATGTCATTAGATGTAGTCAAGGCATATTTTGTTGTGGGTTTTGTTTTTCTTTCTTGTTATGCATATTATCATCTATACTTACTTCATAGTGTTGTAACTTTGTTTTTCTCCTACTGTTATTACTACTTTCATAAACTACTCAGTTCAGTAGTATTAGTAGGTTTTGATAAACAATGAATGTGAAATTGTACAGTTCGTTTAATGACAATGATGTATCATTATGTAACGAGGATCCAGATGACTGATATTCATTATCAAATTTTTGGGTTCTAACCAACATTTTGTATGGCAATTAAAAATGTAGCTGGAGAAAAAATCATCATTTCAACTGTATACTACCTAATCCTATGAAAATATGATCATAATTCTTTGTATTGAGATATATTTTCAGTTTATGGTAGCTATGAGTTGCATTTGAATTCGCTTAGTGTTTCTATGGTCTCAAAAAAACGGATGAGGGAGGAGGAGAGTGTTATAACTGTGACATGGCAGATTTGAGGGTAGCGAATTATTGATCGGACCAAAGACGCGCAAACACGTAGAACGACCTAGGGTTCTGATTGGCCCCGCTTCCCTATCTAGCCCAGCAGTTGGGTCCAGAACGCAAGTCTCAGCCTCGGATATATGAATCATTATATTTCAAACATACTTTGTTTATATACCAGTCAAGCAGACCACAACGTACCATAAAATAGAAAATAACATTGTACAATAATGGCCAGTAGGAAAATGACACGTTAAATAAATATTGACCAATAAGATGATACCATTTCATGTCCAAGGATAGCATTAGGCTTAACAGGATAATTTTTGGGATATTTTCCTGAATATCCCAACAGAGAGTTAGACATAGATCTGTTAACCCAACCCTGTAATAAAGAACTTCACTAAAAATGACGCTAATAAGTTGTATTTATATTCGAGTTAATAGTGTTGTTCAAGATATTCTGTAATACAGCTAACTGATTTCATTGTCGCATCCTATTAAGATATAGTTGTGTACTGATCTTGTTTAAAGAGAATCAAAGCAACAGTGAATGACTTAGTAAAGTGTAATGTGTCTATAATTTCCTCCTATAACAGTTGAACGGAAGAAGGCGTCTTTCTTTTTTAAGTTATATAGTTTGAGTTGAATGTTAGTTTTGTTGACATTGAATTATTCATAGTAAATTTACGGGAATGCGACTTGATATAATATTCCAATATAGTAGTCATTTGAAATGAAGAAAATTCAAAACGGATGGGATATTTATTCATTGGTTTCCAGATGCTTTGAAAAAGGTTAGATATAACTTATGTACATTCAAACCTCCACCGCGCAATTTCGTAGATTTATTGTGGACCGCGGGGTGGCTACTCTAATTTCTACCGATAGTATTAGACTCAACAGGATAATTTTTGGGATCGTGGATGCACACTGCTGAAAGGTCCCATAATAGGACGAAATGGCCATCAAGTGCTTCAGGTTTTCAATGGTGGTCTAACGTCAATCGGTTCATGATCTCAATCAAAAATATTAACAATATATCACGAGAATAGGTTTTTTTTGGATCTTCACTTGAACTACTTATGAGTAGGAACAAGACTTCTCAGCAAATATCTTCTTAGTAAACTTTGTTTTTTGAAGATTAGATTGCAGACATGTGTAGGGTTTTCATCTTTGAATAAGTTAAGAACGAGAAATGGAAGATTTGATAACAGGAAGATTATTATTTCAGAAGTAATTTCTATTATTTGGAGGGAAGTTTCAAGAATGATTTGATTTGAAAAGTAATTCATGAAGTGAGAAGCCATAACCAAAGACGTTGAATTGTTCCACGAATAAGTTAATTACACATTAATGGCATATAAAGATGGTTGTGGAATATTGCGAATTGGTTGAAACTAGAGATGTAAACCATCGGATATTGACTTAATGAGTTGAATGTTAAAAGTTCTTTGTGTGACCTGATGGTTCTTGAGTTTGGTTCCAGACGGAGTCATGTATGCGCACTTCCGAGTCCATATACTAGGATAAGATATCTGTCCATTAGTTCCTGGTTTTCATTAGTTGTCTAATTGGAGTTGGTTCGTGATGGGATTTACGTTATTTCAGCATATGGATCGTACATTTTCATTGATTAAAGTTAGAATAAATGTGGTCGATTAGGATTTCTATTCACTGGTTTTAGAGCTATTATACTGTTTGTGAAATGAAAACCTCATTGCTTCAAAGATATATGGTGTCGTGGTTGCATACACTATTGGAAATACAGAAACAATTGAATCAGCTATCAATCGCTTCATGCTTTTCAAGCTGATATCAGTCCATTGTATAAAATTCTTAAATTTCCAGTTATAATAATTCACAATAATAAAAACGGATCATTTCTATACTTAGCTTAATACATGTTCATATAAAAACTGCTTATTTTGTTGGGGCACAAACTGATACAACATAGGACCAAGCACATATATGCATCGATCCAAGTTACCATACCTTGTTAGCACAACAAGATGAACACCGGATTCATAGAAGCAGTTAGTTCAATGGTGGTAGTACGTAAAAGCAGGATTGCATACAAGGAAGAATTATTTCGTAGAAAGAAAGATATGAAGTGATGTTAATCTCATAGATTAAGGGAAGATAATGAGTGTATACATCAACACGATTGTGATCAATTCTGATCCATGTCACTCAGAGTCTCCAACCATTGATTACAATAGTTATATGGACCCCAACCAAATGTATACTGTAAATTTCATCTAAACCAGTAGGTATCACAAATAATGATAGTCAAGCTACATAGTTACAGTGACTAATTACAAATTACAACATAGTTTTGTAACATATTTCTTATTCATTTTCTTTGTAAGACAAGCATTACTCTAGTTTAAACTAACTGAACAACGCGATATCAATGATAATGTTTAAGTCAAATATTATATATTACGATGCTCATCTGGTTGACGTTTTTTTAGCGAGTTAGTTTTCTACGGGATGTGGTCGCTAACCCCTATGCCCAACCGTTGTTCTTTATCCAGGCTTGGGACCGACAGCAGCCCCAGAGGGACTTCAGGTATAGTCAAGTACCTTTACACTACCTACAAGAAAATATTGATTGGGTATGTTTCTAAGGAATTTGGATATATACAGTAGTCTATATTTTATACATTGATTTTATTTTCTTAAAAAAGAAACATTTTATTTATATATTAAAATCTATATAAAAGGAACAACAAATTAGTATAGTTCTAGTAGTGAAAGACTACTGTTTAAGTAGTAGTAGTATGCCCTCGAATGTCCTGGTATTGCCGATAGTGGGGTGAGCCCGCCTTCCCTCTCGAAATGTTCTCATATGGCCACGCGTATATAGCCTCTGCCAGGGAAATCCTACTCAATGCCTTCTCGTGGCATTACTGTTGTTTAAGAAAATGAGAGAACGAAAAGCGAATGTCCGGCGCTTTAACCGGATCCCAAACCAATAGTGCACATGGGCTCCAGTATCCTTCGGGAACAAATGGCGTATGAACCAATCGTTGGTCACCGACTACCATGAGATTGCATCTTCTCACGATGCTCCACCGCCTTGTGGATCAGACCTTTAGGTCAAAGGCTCGGGCTGTGGCCTCCCAAGAAAGCCACCTGCTTCGGTTTGGGCACTCGGGCAGTATCACATCCCTCACACATATCGAATGAGATTTGTGTGGCGCATATATATTTGGTGCCCTCTTGTACCAATATTTATGTGTTCAAATAAATCAATCAATAAGTAATATATGACATATGAGATAAATTCACATTTTTTTCTGAATTTTTCTTTCCATTCCGAGAATTCTTAGTAGATATAGGATACATTTGATGATCTGTATTGATTCCTTGTTGAAAATGTGTTGATTTTGTTACAGATACAGAAATTTTTCTCTTTACTACTGTATCTTTTTTTTCGCCAATCAAGTATCTACCTTTGATTTAATGAATTACATGTACAGTTACATGGATACATACACATATATAAACACAAACACCGATAAATTAGAGATATTTTTTCTCTCTCATATAGACTTATGTTCTTATTGAATGAATGATGAACTGATATGTTGTTTGATAATGAGAAAGATATATCATTGGGACAATAGTGTTGGATTGATCCTGAAGATTTCTTGCAAAAGACAAGAAAAGATCAGGAAATACTAAGAAGCGTTCCATCCAATCAGTGTTCACTTGAAATTTTAGCCAAAAATATCAAGGAAGTGGAACTTCACATGAAGAGGTTCTGATTGGCAGATTGCTACACAGCTATTATATTTAGTAGCATTCCAAAATCTTCTAGCAACCCAAGGATATTTAGAATATTATAAAAACCCTATTTTTTCTGTATTAAAATGAACCTTGGAGTAAACTACTTCTGGAATACTTTCAGTCTTCTCTCTAGTGCTTAAGTCGCTTTATAGTTCTAGCTTGGGGGGGGGGTTACAGAATAGCTTAGGAGACGAATATAGCGTTCAATCTGCAAGACATATCAAATAGTAAGAATTAGGGTGAAAAACTATGGTTTAATATATCATTTGAAAAATGTTCATGAATTGTTTTAGATTTCATTGTTCTTGCATTTCCATACCAATTGCTTTCTGTTCTCATTCTTTCTTCTTCGATATTCTCAACACTTTTGCTACCAGACATTTTAATTCCTGACTAATGTTATATACTACTTATGTTGACATATAAGTAACACATATCACATAATGATAATCATTAAGAAATTGTATTGTACTATTGTACTATTCAACATATATATATATATATATATATATATATATATATATATATATATATATATATATATAGGGAGAGAGAGAGTTTGATTCACCAAATAGTAGCATAAACTTGTTCGTTAACAGTTCTTTTCTTTTCAAGAAATATGGTCAATCAAGTTAGATCCTTCAAACAATAAAGGATTTAGATTATTTTATCTATCTCAATGGTTAAGATCATGAGTCAGTTGAAGCTAGACAACCATGGAAAACCTGGAATCACTGGAAGGCAGTTTCGTCCTATTAGTTGAAGTTAGACATTAACACCGTTGGATGCCAGCCGGTTCAGTGGTTTAGTGGTTAAGTGCTCGCGCGCGAAACCAGGGGGGGGGCCGAGGGGCGAGGCCGTGGATGCGCACTGCTGAGGAGTTCCACAATAAGACGAGACGGCCGTCCAGTGTTCCCAGGTTTTCTATGGTGGTCTAGCTTTAACTGACTTATGGTCTTAACCATTGAAATTACTGTAATATCTACAAAAACCCATTTGATATTATTTTATCTATCAACATATGAGAGTACTGGATTTCAGTATAGAACGGTTGTTGGATTGTGGTTAGTAATGAAATCATGGATTGGTGTTTTTACTTTAATCTATACACAGTAAAATAAATCTGTAATTATTAAATCA